CGGATGAGGCTTTGTACTCGAAAATGTCGGCGTAAAAACCAAAGCATGTAAGCACTGCCCCATGCAGCTCGACGTCCTCAACGAAGCTCTCTGCACTCATGGTGCAAACAAGAATCCCACTCCTACCCATTGTCCCTCGAAAGCCCTATAATGGCCCCCTACACATTCCTCCCGTATGTCATCCCCTTTATAACCCTAAACCCTAAAGAAAGGAGGTTGTATATTCCCTACATAATCCGCTTTCAGGAGTTTAGACCCTAAACCCTATACAATCCCCTGTATGACCCCCTTTAAGGAGTTTAGACCATAGCTCATGTGAAAGGCTAAGGCTGCACCATGCTGATGACAGTGCAGCTCCTAAATCTGAGGACCATTAGAAGCAACATTAAGTGGTTTAGGGTCTGCGGGTCTTGGGGTTGAGGGTTCGCAGATTTTAGGTTTTTAGGGCTTAGGGTTTCAGGGCTAGGGGTTTGGGGTTTCAGGATTTTAGGGGTTTAGGGTCTAAGGCTTCAGGGTTTTAGGATTTTCGGGCTGAATAGGGCTTACATAGGCTCAAATGCGGGGATCCTGTGTTTATGAGGGCACACCAAAGGCACCCAGACTTTGGACACGCTTGTAGTGTCAATTTGCCCAATACATGGGAGCTCCTGCGAGGAAGGACAGATCCTCACCCTCTTATGCTGGTGATTCTGTTCGAGCCATCACAGTGGTAATGCTGATTTTGCTTCACTAACCCTAAACCCTAAACATCCCTAAACCCTAGTCAAATCCAAGAAAAGCTGGGGGACTTCTGAGCTCTGCCAAGCCCTCAGCTGCCTGTTTGAGCTCGGGACATGTACATGCTGCCAGCGCTGATGAAGGCACTTCCTTCAAGCGTCAGGACAAGTAGAGTAGAGTACTTGCAGGGTCGGTTGGATGGACTTCTGGAAGTAGAGTTACAGGAAGAATTGCGAGGGTAATCTGTGTTTACCCAAGCAGGGTTTAGTAGTGTGTTGGCTGCACGGGCATCCTGGGAGCATCATTACTCACCCTGTCCCTGCCAAAGCAGCGAAGACCTTTCTCCTGCACAGTGAATACCCCGCAACAATCCAGTCCATGGTTTTGTGTCTGATGTCGAACATGTGCCGCACTGTCAGGGCTTGGGCCGTTTTGTATGGATTCTGGGAGCATGCACTGGTGGGAGATGTGTGAGCTGACCGAATCCTCTCTGAAGGCTGTGGCGGTAATGCGCCCAGCGGCTCACCGAGAGGCTTTTTGACACTCAGAGCAATCTTTGATCTGATAATCCCCAACATGAAGCAACCCGACCCCGACACTGTACGAATGTTCATTTGAAGACGACGGCATGCTACCCCACCCCGGGAGCGGGCGCTGCAGAAAGTGCGCCGGCATGCACTGGCAACTGCTGCTCAAGTCAACTTATAAACACCTGAATCAGCTTGAAGAGGTGCCATACCAGACTTTTTGTAGCTCCTTGTTGCCCCAGGATCCAAGGGAGTCTACGCAACTTAGTCTCAAACAGCCGAGGTTGCAGAGTTTCGCCACGAACAAAGACTACATGAGACGATGATATCTCGCACAATGTCGGTTACCTCTGCCCTCGGCTCGGCTGGCTATCTGCACACCAAGCACAGCTTTGTGTTTGGCTCAATACACCACAGGACTCAAAAGAATCACCTGCGGGTCTGCAATGGATAGTTTCTAATCTAGGCATCATGTTGCCAGGCTCCGATTACGCAAAAAAATCAGGCTGGCCTTCTTGCGTATCTCCTCGGACATCTCGCCCATCAGGGCTACCCATTCGTGCACAGGAGCAACACCACAAAGCACGACAACTGAGAGGCTGTCTCCATCTGCCAGGTCATATGCGGCCACAGATCTACAAGCATCGCTCAACTCTTCGCCGCACTTCGCAAGCACCAGAGCCTGCTGCCGGCCAAGCTCTAGGGTCTTTCGGACTTGCTCCTTGACATAGGCGATCGAACTGTGCAGCCGCACTCGAAGAGGCCACTGGCGACCCGAGGGCTGAATGAAGTTCAATGTAATATGCTCCTGGACTTCCTCCACACAATTCATCGCCAGGGCCGACCTGAACAACATGCGACCCGCTGCCGGTTGGAGGGGGACACGGAGGCGCCGCATGGTCGGCTGGTACAGAGGTGTGTGGTCAGGAGCGCTTGATCACTTCGAGGCTGCAAAGCTGAAGATGGGCATGCGGTTTGCAAACGGAAGAGAAACCTCCTCGGGTTCTGGGTACAGTGCATCTTTAAATGCGCGGTACAATACAACTGGAAACAAGTTGCCACCGAAAAGCTGTTGACAGGAGGTGGATGTTGGACCTGTAAGACTACATGGTAGCACTGGAAGTGCCAGCCCGGTGGGTCATGGGACTGGATGAGGCGCAGGATTGAGGTCCTGATTTCCAGTACACCCACAGAAAGCCCGTGCAATTTTGAGTGAAGGCATCCTTAATGTTTGCAGAACCCCTCTTCTCAAACACATTCATGTATCTATCTGTGTCTGCATGAAAAGCCTTGCAAAGAACAACACACCTGTATTGCGAAGCCTGCACACTCCCCATAAAGCTGTGTATAACCCCTTCGCTGTGTATGACCCCAAGGCCTCCAATCCAGCAACCCATGCTCCCCAACCCAAAAGGGCTTAGGGTTTAGGCTGCAGAGCCAATGTAGGACATTCCGCGGAACTTAGTGAAGGGGCTTAGAATTGTTGCTACGCCCCAGGTACCGCAAAGCAAGCCCAAAACCCAACGCCCAAAACCGCCCGCAAGCCCGACACAAAAGCCCAAAGCCAAGCTATAAGACTAACACTCCATATTAGACGCTCCACCCCAAAACCTAAGTCCAGAAATCTCAAGCACAAATCCCAAACCCTACGGCCAGGGGTTCTCAAAAAGAGGACCTTACAGACGCTAGGGCCTTTCCATCCTTGCAGCTTATTTGCAGCACTATTCTGAGATCTCCCAGGCATCCACCCCAAAGCCCTGAACTGGGTTGCTGTCAAGGAACCTAAATTAATGTTACCAGATTAATTATGGACATATAATAATCCTAGCAACCTAAACCCTAAACGCTAAACCCATATAATAAACAATACGGTTTCCTAGCAACCCAGTAAATCCTACACCACGCCTCGCGGGGTGCGGGATGAAGTGTGACTTGGGCATCCAGGCCTCAGCGCTAGGGTCGGCCCCTGTTCGTGGTTTGGGAGAATGGGGCTCCGTACGGCTTAGGGTTTAGGGTTTAGGGTTAAGGGAGCTTAGGGTTTAGGGTTTGAACGTTTTTTGTTGTTTTGGGGTTACAGGTTTGGGGCTTTCGATTTTAGGCGTTAGGGCTTAAAGGTTTTTGGGCTTGGGGTCTTAAATTCAAGGACCTTACACGGCAAACCAGAAGCCCGAAGTTGTAGATTTGCAACCTCGAATCCCCCAATGCTCACACTCACAAATCCGAAATAAAACGAATCAGCCTCCACACCCTGTTGGAACAACCTAAGCCCTAAACCCTACCTAGAAAGCCTAGTTACCCATAATATTGGGCTACTTTAGCCCAAAGTAGTAGGAATTTAAGGGAAAGTTGCCTATAATTATGGGTAACTGGCTTTCTAGGTAAAGCCTAAGGGGCGGGCGCCGTACCATCTCGGATAGGCTGTCCACCTTTCCATCAAGGGCACCCTCAGGTGAGGTACAGGTGGGTATCCCATTCTAAGGCTCATGCAAACTGTAGTCTAAAGTCCTGAAAGGCTAGGGACATCGGGGATTATATGGGGACCATCATAATGCTTAGTAAGGAGGGGACTAGGGGCTTAGACTATAGCTCATATAAAGCTCGTGTAAGGGTATTGTGGCTATAATGTGAGGTCCATATCATAGGCCTCCTTTAAGGGTACCCACCTGATAACTAGCCACCTGAAGGTTTCAGTGCCTCCATGACTTCAGGTCCATACCGCCCTAAGAATGTAAGAGTCACACATGTAGTCTGTCGTCAGGGGCATAACACTACTAATTACGGCTATGATATTGGGGGACCACCGCAAAGTGGAGGCAGTATCCATGATTTAATTAGGGGCTTCGGGCAGAGGATTGGCAGAGAAAGGAGATTTGCAAAGGTCAGCAAACTTATCCAAGCGCATCCCCGAATCAGGCGTATGTCGCAGTTTGCGGTTCATGGAAGCCCTACACGCCAAGCTGTTGCGCATGGACCAGCGATTTTTACTGTACCTGCGGCCAAAAAAATCTGGTGGGCAATGATCGCAGCGCTCACAACGAGTAGGAAGCATTCTATATGGGTGGTTGTCAAAATTATGGTCCCTTTTTGGATCCCTACTATAATACGGCACCTAATATTTGGGGTATCCAAAAAGGGACCATAATTGTGACAACCACCCATGGTCATATTTATTCCTGACTCGTCCCCCGGCAGAGCTACGGCTTTCCTTGGGCTGGCTTGGGCAGGAGAATCATCCCCAGCCCCTGCCCTTACCTGAGAAGTCCACTCACGCTGAAGCATTTTAACGGCTTAGGATTTGGGACACTCTGGCTATGAGCTTTAAAGGCTTGCCTCTAAGGGTATGGTTTCAACGTCCCTGCGGGCCGCCCTCAAATTGGACAAGAAGGCGGGCATGCAAAACACCCTGAGGCCTTCCTTTTTCTCGCTTCCGCGCCCGACTCTTCGTGTCTGCAGAGGGCAAGAGAAACCAATCATCTTAAGCTCTCAGCACATCCTTGAGGGGCAGTATGGGGAGTGGACCCTACATGAGCTATAGTCTAAACTCCTAGCATCCCCCTGAGTAACCCCTATAATAGTCCCATATATAATCCTTTATATAACCCCCTTTAAGGAGTTTAGACTATAGCTCACATAGCCCTCCATAAGCTGCTGATGTTCACGCCCCTGCTCCCCTTAAGCACCGGTGACTTTTGCCACAGGGGCTGAAGACCAGGACCCCCACCGCCATTGCAGAATTCGAAGCGCCATACCCAACAGTCAGAAAGTGTTCAGCAGTTGCTTCACCTGAGGGTTCTTCAAACTTGGGCTAGTCCTAGACGCCCTACCACGGATACGTACTTGATGTACAAGAATAATGTGGGGGATCCCTCTGGAATCATGCAAAGGTGTAATTTCGAAAAGCTCCTACCTGCGCAAAGCACGCTGCAGATGGCAGTGGAGCCTTCGGCAGCCTCCAGATGCGGTAAGCGATGCTCTCGATCTCCTTGTTAGGAGTCCCTTGCGATGCCATGGAGAGCGCCGTTTGACCGTTACTGTCCTTATCTATACATGCAGCTGAATCACTCTGGGAGTTCAGTCCCCTTTACACTCCCCGAAGGTAATGATGTCTGTTATACAATAAGGACTCCTGTAAGAGATGCCTGAAATTTGTGACATGCTCGAATGCCATCAGATTCCAAGAGCTTCTTCAGTCAGTGCTTGTATGGCCTGGAACTTAGGAGCTGTGATCTCGCGCCCTCTTAACACCCGCCCTCACAACACTACAAGCTTGCACACAACACAACACGATGAACTGATTTCTCAACGGAAGCTAATGCATCTTGTGAGAGAAGCGATAAGGGGTGACCGGTCTACCTCCCCGAGCTCACATGAAACACCCATAAACCCCCTTCTCCTAAGGATAGCAGATTTCATGGTCTGTGTTCCGTCTTATTCTAGGGAGGGGGTGGAGGTCGGAGGCTTGGCCGAAACCCTCCCAACTTCATCTTTCGCCCAGGACCCTAGATCCTGACCCCGTAAGGCCCGCAAGCCATAACCTCAAAGGGGCCCCGAATTATGGGCAAACCTACTACTCCGAGGACTATAGTAGATCAGTATATGGGGATTAGATGGTAACAGACACAATCTCCCCTTTTGATGCTCCATCAGTATGGAACTACTACCCCTAAGGCCTATTAATCACTATATACCTCTTCAAACGGACCTAGGGTTTCAATTTCATTGCCTGTTTCATTTTCCGTGGGATTCCGCACGATTACCCCTAAAATCCTGAAGTGCAGCCCCGGGGCGCTTGCGTTCTTGTCGCACTTGGCTGCCAGAAGCCGACGCACAGCTTCTGCTCTACCGGCTCCAGATGCCAGCATGAGAGCCTGGGGACTCCGAAGGTTCCCCTCATTTAGCCTGAGTTAAGCCTCAATAAGCCTAGTTCAAGAGGGAACCTTGGGGGGGAAGCGCAGAGGCACCAGAACCTCCCAAGTACCCTTAAACATGGTCTGTGTATGGGGATTTGGGCGTACACGCTGTCTAGAGTCTAGCCAGGGCTTCTGGGGTAGGCGGTGGGATTTCAGACTTCGGATTTGGGATTTAGAATGTAAGGCTTGGGGTTTTGGACTTAGGGCATGAAAACCTAGAACCCTTGTGTGACACGTAGATGTGAAGGTCTTCAGCATCGCAAAAAGACACCATGAACGATGGCACAGGAGCTGTCTGCCCTGAGAAGTCTGAATGGTCCTTGCCGGCATAGAAGGGTTTCTCAAAAAGATTGTTTCTTTGGGTGTGTTCATTCTGCGGGTGAATCATAGGGACTTGAACAGTAAAGCATCCCCGCGCATGTCAGAACGCCACGTCAGCATCAACATGCAGTAACCATAAACGCCGAATCTGCAAATCATTTTAGGATCTTGCGTTGTCACTTTGGAGGTTCGCTGTTTCAGGACTGTGCTGCTTTGGGGCATTGTGGTCCAAATCCTGATCTCAATGGCCAGCTTTCGACATCTACCTATTTCTCTGCTACATGCTGAGGGCACAGTGGTGAATCCAAATAACCTACAGTTTAGTAATAACTACACCGAAGTTAATAGGCAGCACGCATAAATTGGGATTATACGCAAAACCCCAACTTACTGTCCTTGTCACATCCAGCTTCGAGCAGCATTCGAACTAACTGCACGTTGTTGTCCACCGCTGCAACCATGAGAGCCTAGGTCCCCCAATGGGAACTACAGGGATTGTAGGGATATCATATCATATGGGCTACAATCTAGGGGTTATATAGGGGGTATAATA